CATAAAAAAGGTGAAAAGTACAATCATAGACAAAAGTTAGTGAGGCAAAAGTGAATGAAGTACTTAGAAAAAAGGTGAAAAGTACAATTATAGACAAAAGTTAGAGAGAGAAAGTGGAAAAAAGTATCATGCAAGTAGATAATTCAAGGGTAATTTAGGAAGTACAATGAATAAAGTTAAAAAAATAAGGGTATAAAGAACTTTACATACTATCCAAAAATAGAAACAAGAACAATATTTTGGGTCTCCAAAATAGGAAAACAAGAACTATAATATGGGACGGAGGGAGCAGGCTAGAGAAACTATTCAAGTATGCGTATTATTTATCTAGTATTCTAGCAAATTGTGTATTTGTCTTTCAGTGGTTTTATTTGCAAGTTAGGTCAACTTCCTTGATTCATTTGTTGTTGACTGTTTGGGAAATGCTTTAGAGTGAGGGACATCGGCAAATATTGACTAGAGAACTGGAAGCTGTGGGATTACGTCTCAACAAAAGACCACCACATGTAAGTTTTTATTTGAGAAAGCAAATCTAAGTGATGTTATTGTGGTTTTTATATAGGGACTTCTATGCATATTATTGAAAACTTTTACTTTGTATTAATCACTTACATTATCGCTGTCACCTTTTTTAGGATTTCCTGTTGCCTAGCTATCTTTAGTTTGCTATTTTGCTTCCATCCTTTACTAGCTACCCTTCCAGTTCACATACTTATGTTGTGATTTGTGAAAGTAAAAATCTTTGTTGAGTGTTTGTAGTCTTGCTAAGTCACAAGATGGAATGATAGATATAATCCTGATACTTCTATTATATACACTTGCTCAAAATCTTTTGAACTATCTTGTCTACTTCTTGATTTAATATGCTTTGTACACACTTGGTTTATGGTGTAGAATTTTGTAGATAAGGGAGAAAATTCTTGCAATCTCCATTCTTACCTTTCCCCTATGAATCCAGTCGTCACTTTCTTTCCAATGTTTCTTTGGATATATTGTTTCCTCTTTTTGGTTAATTTGTTTAATGGATGCCTCGCACTTGTGAATTGATGCTTCTTCATCTTAGTTTTATTGCTTTTGGTTCTCACTATGTGCTATTTACTAGATCTACTTTAAGAAGAAGAAGACTGGGGGCATTTCTTTCAACAGTACAATGCCGTTGACACATGTGGATGAGAAGCTTTGCTATCAAATTCTTCATGAGTATAAGATTCACAATGCAGAGGTATAACCTTCAACTCTGTAATAAGCTCCGAAAGGAGATATGTATATTTTCTTTTGTGCTTGTGCTGCATTTAAGTCTTCTTGGTTTGAATCTTGATGTCCCTTCTGCACTACAGTATTATACTATTTGTAAGAAATGAAGATGTAACAGTTGACATTTTGCAATGCATTGTTTTAAATTCCCTTTTCTTTTTATGAATAAATTGTTTAAAATTCCTTTGTTTGGGTATTTGTAAATATTTATTTGTTATTGCTTGTGACCAGCTTTTGAATTATATTTTTCATCTACCAATTTTGGCTGAAATGGACATGTCATATAAGGTCCCCCACCTTAGTGTATTTTGTATCTTTTTATGAAGAGTAAAAAAGGATCAGGGAAGGATGGGAGGGGGCCCAAGGATAAATTAGAAACCCCCCCCCCTCTCTTCTCTGTCTCTCTCTCTCTCTCTTGAGAGGATTCAGATTTTGTCCAGTTCGGCCACCTTTAGGTTGGAATTCGTGGCCCAATGTTGTTAAAGCCTTAATGATGTGGAAAAATTTCTTTCCTTCTATCTTTTGGACTCTTAAAACTCAAGAGACAATTTAGCACTGGGCAATGTATAAAAAGCTCAAGGCGCACCAAGGCATTTCTGACTTCCCTGGTCCTAAGATATTAAACAATACAATTTTTTTTTTTTGAAATTGTGTGCCTCAGGAAGTGCGCCTCAATGTGCCTTGGGGTACCAAAATCGCTTAGCCTAGACCACAAAAGGCGCATGACCCCTAACGCCTTGCACCTTTTCAAACACTGGCACTGGGAAGAGAATAATGGAGTGCTGGAGGTTTTCTTGTCTTCTATCCTTTTTACTCCCTCGTCTCCTTTTCATTTCTATTTATAAGGGAATATGAACTCTGTTTTGTTTGGAGGGCTTATATAAAGAAGGGTATCTTTCTCTGGATTTTCGTGGTCTAAGGTGGTTTGTACATTGTAAGTGGGATTAACCATCCAAGCTTTGTGATGTGGGAATTAGGAAGCCAGGAGCATCCGTTTTCAAACCTGGGTTTCAATATTTGAAGATTTGTTTTAATTTTCATGTGGAATTGTTTAGTTTCAATGGGTCAAAAGAAAGATCTATCTCTCAATTGGAGGAATTGTAGTTGCTTAGAGGTGATTTCTTGGTTAAGGCGAGCTGAAGGTTTGGGTTATGATTTATATGGGAAATGGAGGCAAGAGGGGGTGTGATATGCATAGGGCCAGGCAGCTTGTTGCATAGCCCATTGCTGCTTTGCTTGTCCATGTGGCTTTGGTATTGCAAGTACTATGCATATCACACCCCCTCTTGCCTCCATTTCACAAAGCACTATGCATATCATTCCCTCTTGCCTCCATTTCACATGATTATTGTCACACAAAGCACATAGAAACTAACCTTTATAATCACGCAAAGCACTAACAAAGAGGGTTTCTGGAATAAGTACTATGGTTCTTGAATTTAGATATCCTAAAATTATACAATTGGCTTGATCTCACCCTTGACCTCATTTAATTTAGGTGATGTCATTGACTCGCTTGTATATTCATAATATAAACTAGAATGTTGCAAACTTGAAATCCATAACTTAACCCCAACTGTAATAATTGATTACCTAATTTCTTATAGAAGGTTCATTTGGACTATTGGAGTTGATGCATCATATTTAATCTTAGCAAAATTCATGGCCTTCATGCTAAAACCTGCTTGAATTTAACTATATACGAAGTAAAAATAGAGTGTTTTTAGCATCCTATTGACCGTGTTTTGTTTCCTCTGGTTGCAGGTATTATTCCGTGAGGATGCCACTGTTGACGATCTGATTGATGTGATTGAAGGGAATCGTAAATACATTAAATGTGTGTACGTGTATAACAAGATAGATGTTGTTGGTATTGATGATGTTGACAGGCTAGCAAGATTGCCAAACTCTATTGTCATTAGTGCCAACCTAAAGGTACCTTTTTGGCATTGGCTAAGTTAATTATAGCTATGATTAATTTGCTACTAATCTAGTCGTTGTATGATAAAAAAAAGGTGGTGAAATATTAGAGACTCTAAAGCAGCAGACTAGGACTAAAACACTGTTACAAAGTATTTCAAAGCTGGAATGTTGATGAACCGACACTCTATATATGTTAGGGCTCTAAGGACTTGATATTTCTCTCAATGTCCTTCCCATGTCTGCATTTTTATAAAGAAATAGAAGAGTAATGCCCATCTTGTGTTTACACTTAAATAAGACAAGAATAAAAATAATTGCATACTGATTGTGCTCCTTTCTAGTTTTGCTCGAAAACATTCTTATTTGATATACTGTTTCTATTTTGGTCCACAGAAAACTTAGTTGACTATTGTGTTTTGGTTTTTGTTTATATGTTGGATCTAAACTCTGAAGTATAATGATTCTTCTGCAAATAGTGTGTACATCTTCTAATGAAATTGTCCTGGTATCCAATTTATGTTGCTTGAACAGCTTAATCTAGACAGATTACTGGCAAGAATGTGGGAGGAGATGGGACTAGTTAGAGGTTATACAAAGCCTCAAGGCCAGCAGCCAGATTTTTCTGAGCCTGTGGTACTTTCTGCGGTATGTCATTTTGAATCACATTATGTTCTGTTCTCTCACTCACTTCAGGAGTCCAGGGTTGACATGCAATAATAGATTCTTGTTAGAGCTATTTATGTATCAGATTTGCTTCCAACTCTCCTGTAATGTTTATATCTTTGTTGTTCTGTCTAGGATCGAGGTGGTTGCACAGTTGAAGATTTTTGTAATCATATACACAGAACGCTAGTGAAGGATTTAAAGTATGCACTTGTCTGGGGTACGAGTGCAAGGCATTATCCTCAGCACTGTGGACTCTCACATGCTCTTCAAGATGAGGATGTGGTCCAAATTGTTAAAAAGAAGGTGTGTTTTTGCTTGTTTCTTTAAATTATCACTGCTATTTCGTGAATGCTTTGTTTACCTTGTGTACTGTATGAATTTCTGAATCATTCGAAGTTGAAAACTTGTGCTTTGAATGCAATATTCAGTACTTGTGTTGTGTGTCTTTTGGTCCTTCCCACAAGATAGTAAGATCAATGATGCATAAATTGTGTTCTGCAGGAGAAAGACGAAGGAGGGAGAGGGCGGTTCAAATCACACTCAAATGCCCCTGCCAGAATAGCAGACAGAGAAAAGAAGGCACCACTGAAACAGTAGGACTTGTGGGTGAATGATGTTGTGTTTCGAGTCCATCAGGTTGTAAGGTCTTTTTCGTGGTCGAACAGAGGTATTCTAAAGATCCTTGTCAAAGTCTTAAGTCAATTAGAACTGGGTTATACCCATTTTTGTCCGCATCAGTTAGTATTTGATTGTCTTACAGTTTCATTTGTTGTAACTTTATGAATTATGACTCATACATCTATAGTTATTTGAAAAGAATTTTCTGTAGATTTCATTTTGCATGTGTTTTTACTGAGGAAGCAATTTCCTCTATTCCTAAATACTTACTATAGCATTTTTGTGGCTTTTACTCTCCTTTTCAGAATATAAGCTATAGTTGGTCGACTTCTGGTATTGTAAATTGACATTTTATACTACATTGATAATAATACACTACTCCGAAATTACTATCAATAGTATATGTTACATAGCAATACAGCAGCACACCACCTAATGTGTAATTTGCACATGTAAATGCAAGCATCTATCTCGTGTAGGCTGGAGAAGAGTAAGCATAATTTATCAATATGCTAGTACAAGATGTTTATATCATAAAATTAACACAAGATGAAGTATATTTCTTATCACAAATAAGATTGTATATCATAAGAAATGATATACTAGTACAAAATGAAGTATACTTCTTATCACAAATAAAGTTCACTTGCCACTCAAACGGGAATTGTAGTTTGATGATTTAAGTTCCATCATCTCACGCACCAAAAGTACCAATAGGGGTACGCATGATATTTTGGCTCATACAGAGTTGCACTCTGTAAAACTGTAGGGTACATGATGTAGTAGAAAAATTAACAGCTGAAAAATAATTTAGTACAAGTTTGATTATATACTGATAGGGAAGGAAAAACTAAGCATCGGTAGGAGGAGCAGAGGAGCAGAAGCCATTCCCACGCTCAGCTCGTGCACTTTCAGCAAACTTGATATTCCTTTCGTGCATTCCCTTACTCTGCTCGTTTTTGTTGTACTCAGCAACATAGTAATCCTCCTCGGTAGCAGTCTTGGATGGAGGGAAAAACATACTACCCCATTGTGGGAAATGCACAAAGGCTACTGGGACGGTACAAGCAATGGCCATAACTCCCATGTAGAGAAGACCGTCTTCTCTGCTATAACGAGTTCCAGAAAAGAAAATAAACTGGGTCAATGCCGCTCCCACGTTGCCTCCTGCACCAGTGAGCCCAGAGATAATCCCTAGGGATCGTCGAGAGATGAAGGGCACTATCCCAAAGGTGGCTCCGCAAGCAGCTTGAGCCCCTAAGGAGAATAGGATTAAGGATACAATGGCTGTGGTGAGGTCTTTGGCCAACCCAAGCCAAACGCAGAACAACCCACCAGCTGTTTGGAGGATCCATAGGGTCCAAAGCCGCCCCCTCATACCAAAGTAACGAGCACTATAGTCCGAGGCTAACCCCCCCAATGGACGGGAGAAGAAGTTTGCTAACCCAAAGCTGGCTGCTATGATTCCCGCTGTGTGCAAGTTGAGGTTAAACCTATTGGCATGATCACAAACAAGTATATTTCGTGACTTAGCTTTGATGTCAGATTAGATACTACACGGAATAAAATGGAGTACATACTATCTATATTACAGTGTCTAGAATATATGTAATTTCAAGATATCAACTTTTTATAATTTTCAATAATACCTAATGATGTTAACAGTGATCTCTGAAAACGTAAAAACGATGTTGCACAATATCTAAAGGGTATGTAGCTGTATTATATTAAGTCAAACCATATAGTTTAAGAAAAAAAAATAGAAAATACTTGGTCGAATAGGGATATTGATACTTGATAGGATCTAAAAACGTGCCCAGGCCCCAGGGTCGTGGAATCAATTCAGATTCTATACATAAGAAAATAGGTGACTTATTAAGAGATTCCTTAATCATTACTGTATGACTATATCAACTTAATTAAGTAGACTAAATTAATTAACCAGCTTGATTAAGGAACTTCATGTTATTAACAGCTTGCAAGCATTATTGATTATGATTTATGGATCTTCTCATAAGATTTTTTTACCATACCTCAACTTTAGCCAAATAACCTAAGGTAAAGTTATAATTGTATGTGCAGCTTATAGTGATCAACATAAAACCGGTCAAAATAACAAAATTTGCGACTATTAGCCTCTCTTGCTTGATCGCATGACAAAATTAAGTAAGTAATATTATGGTGGACTAGTAGTTACAAAAATCAGTTGCTAAATAAGATTTTTCTTTTAGTTTTATCACTTTTATGATGTATATTTATGTCAATATGTGTTTATCAATGTAATTTTTCGACCTTAGTATTTACTTTTTAAAGATAGTACTCTATTAAAGTAATATTGATTCATGTATACACAATTTTCGCAGTTTTAAGGCATGTTGTGTATGTTAGATTCCGGTTTTACAATTTAAAAAAAAAAAAAAAAATAAAAGACAACAAAGAACGAAATCATAAAAAAAAAATTTAAAAAAAAATCATAAAAATACCTATCAAAAAAGTATTCTGCAATAACGTTATCAGTAGTCAACTCCACACCTAAGGAGTAGCCATAAAGGAGTACAAAGATCCATGTCCGGTAGTTGGAGACAGCATACCAAAGCACCTAAATTATGCAACCACGTAAATATAAAGCATGTATACATAAAACATTGGAGTTTACATAAAATTATACAAAAGCATGTTTGTTACAAATGTAAATGAAATTAATAGAACAATCCTTACATGCATTAAATTTGTATAAAGACAGATAAAATGATAAACCATAAACTGAGTGTTAAGAGTATTAATATGGAGTACATAATATGTCTAATACTCCCTCCGTTTCACATTAGTTGCAATACTTTTCATTTTCGGCCACTTTATTATATTAGTTGCAACACTGCTATATTTGGAAAGGACTCACCATTATTTTATAATTTCTCTCTCCCACTAACCCCACTTTCACAAATATTTTATTATTTCTCTTTCCTACCAACCTCACCCACACTATTTTTCTTATTATTTTTATCTCTTACTAACAATACTTTATATTATAAACCTATAAGTCTAGTCTATAATTTTCTTAAACTATGAGCCAAGTCTACTGTTGCAACTAATGCGAAACGGAGGAAGTATGTAAGCATGTAACTAGACATCTTTTCGTGCCTAAAATTTAGAGACGATCGATATAACAAAATAATAATGCAGTCAAGAAAATAAAGGGACTACAATGATTACCTTAGGGAGCTTGTCCTTAGCAACCTCACCCTTCTTCTGAAGGGCACCAAGGTTACCATCAGGCAAATCTTGACCAAGTGTAAGAACCAAAATCCCCATAACAATATGAAGCAACCCAGGAATGAAGAAGGCAATCCTCCAAGCTACAAAAGACGTGGCTCCGATACGACAAATGATTTCATAGACCAAAGGCATTAGAAGTTGGGTTGCACCACCTCCGGCATTACCCCATCCTGCAGCTGTCCCATTCACAAGCCCTATAATTTGTCCGTTAAACATGGTACTCATCCAATATTGGCACGACACGAAAGTGGCTAGACAAAACCCTATCATGAACCTCACTGCTACGTACCCTGATGCATCTTCTATCAAAGACATGCAAAACACGGCAGGGGCTATCAACATGACTAGGAATGCACAAGCGTACCTCGGTCCCATGAGGTCGCAAAGCGTACCCATGACAAGCCTAGAGAAGACACTTCCTGAGACGGAAGCTACTCCTGCGTTACCAATGTCTATATGGGTGAGATTGAGGTTGTCCCTTATGATTGGGACCAAGGGTGCAGCTGCGAAAGTGGATATGAAACACGTACAAAAGGAAATCCAACTTAGGTGGAATGTAGTCATGTGGGGTTTGGCTAGAGATAAGATTTTGAATTTTGTAGCCTTATGCTCTGCATCGACTGGCAGAGCAAACTTGGCCATGTGGTCCACTGGGACCTGGGATGGGGAGACGGAGAAGGCGTGTGATTGCTCCTTCCCCGTCACCCCATGCATTGAGGTACCTGGCTCACCACTGGCCATGAAATAATTTTTTTTAAAGGATTTGGGGGGGGGGTTTGTAAGTATTTAGCTAAGGTATACCTAGCTAATAGTACTTGCTAGGTTACTTGTTTTGTTTTTTTTTTTATGAGGATAACTCATTAAGTGACCACTATATATAATACTTCACATTGACATTTTAATGAAGTTAAGGATCGAAGATTAGAAAAGGCAATTAGACTTATTCAAATAAATTCAAGTTTAAACATATAGTTTGTTAGCCTTATTGTCATTTAAAAAGTGTATCATTATAGGGCTGTTTACAATGTCAATGGAGAATCGAGAATATTGATGGAATCTATTAGTATATACGAGTAGTGGCCAAGTGGGATACTTGTTAAGCAAGTAAAATACTTGGTACGAAACAAAATTTGGCACACTATAAACTACTATATCAGAGGGTTTTTACTAGGTGATGCTTGAATTTTTTCTCACTTTTCCATTGTGTAATTTGTTAAAATTTATTTTACTTTGCTTCTGTATGGATATTGTTTTATTCATCTCCATGAGTAATTTTAGAGTAGCAAACATAATTTTAAAATATCAAACATAATTTTAGAATATCAAACATATATAATTTTTACTAATGTGTGATTCAAGTTATTAACAATATACAATGCACATTAGCGACTGGATGAAAGCGAAATAAGAAGAACTTACAGAATTAGAGAGAGTAGTTTAGTTCAAAACAATAAATTAACTATGTTAATTGTAATAATAGTTTATATTTCTATATAATACAGTTAGATTGGTTTACTATGATTAATAACTAATAAGTAGAGACTATCATCTTTAATTCTGAATCATCTTTAATTCTGAATTTAATACGGATCATTTTTAAGTAACAAATATGTACGGAATAACTCATTTCATTTGCTAGATCATCAAAATAAAAAAGGATTATTTATTTTTGGGTGAATTTGTACGCAGTCAAACTATACTCTCATTTCATGTAGAATCGGTTTAATTTATTTAATCAATATGCATCATTATTTGTTTTAATAATGCACATTGGATCATCATGCAACCCACTCGTCAAAAAAAATAAAGGGTGTATTAAGTCAGATCAGAACTTAGAAGAGTGTTGATTAAGTAGAAAAAAATGAAAAAATAATGAATAACGTTACGCCGCACGTAAGTAAATACGAAGAGGGTGGCTTACCTAGGTACCAAAAGTACAAAGGACAATTGATTCCGCGTCGCCGAATCTCTCCAATATACGAGTAGTTGACTTAGCTGAATCTTAGTTTTTTTTTTATACTCCCAGACTCCCAGTTGATTTAACAATTTTTTTCGATTATAATTTAAATGGGATCCAATAAATTAAGGGTAGAAATAAGGTAACTCAAGTTGGGTCGAGTTTTTACTCTATTCATGTGTTGCGTTCTTAAGGGGGGATTTTTTTTTTTTTTTTTTTGGGACAACGGTTCAAAAGACTAGCTCCTAAATGACTCAAAACAACAAGAAAATTTAAACCTCTTGACCAAACAATACAAGAACTAAAAAGGAGATTGAGGTTACAGACGCTATGAACTGCTTGACAATATCCAAATAAGGGGTTGAGAAAATCCATCGCCAAAAATAAGCTTAAGCTGCTCCAAACTTGTTCCCTTGAGTTTCTTAATCTTGCAAAAATGATTAGTATACCTTTTACCTTTCTTATTCTCCACCCTTTACTTGGTTGACCTTCCATTTATTCTCGAGAATATGAAGGTGGTGAGCGGTGGATCGGAGAGGACTACACATGGTCGGGTTCAACAGTCATGGGGTCTTCGTCATTAGAACCTACGGATTTCACTTCATCGAAATCGGTGATAGTTAAATCTCTCGCAGGTAACTCGTCCCCTCCCTCAATGTTTGACCCCTCATTGTTGTTAAAAGTTAGGCTAGTAGGTATATGATCATCTAACTTCTCAATGGCAGCCGTTGTTGGCCTTGGTAAGTCCAGCACCGTGGCTGACCGCGGTGGAGTCTAGGGTTCGCTTGGCCTTTTCCAGCCTTTTGGCCCTTTCTGTAGCGAAACCTCTTTTTTGGACACACCATCCTAGTGGACGTAAGTGAGGTATCAGGAACATTGGATTCCTTTGCCTTATGGGATCAGAATTATGCCCATCATTGGAGGTCTTTTCCTTCACTCGTACAGTAATCCATGATACATGACAGGATCTAGTCGTATCACCTAATCAAAAGTAATTACCTAAGTCCTCTAACTAAAGTAGATAGGGAAGTAGGGTCGAATCCACAGGGAAACAATGTTCTTTTACTCCTAATTAATTATTATAATCTAAATCATCAAGTAACCAATTTGTAATGTGGGAATTAAACTAAGCGAATTAAATAAGGGATTAATCAATAATAAAAGGCCTAGGGTATAGGTTCACCAATAAATAATATTCCAGGGTAAAACATAACAATCAATCATCAATGCATAAATTAATCAGATAATAAAGGGCTTTCGCTACGTATTATTATCACAAAATTAATCTACCGGTATTAAATCGCATCTCTCGAATCTTGACCTAACCATTTATAGATTAACATGCCTATTGAAACTAAGCCTAAACATCAATTCTCATCTCTCGAATCTCGAATCAATATTGCATAACTCATACAATTAAACCTCGCCAAATCTAATTGCATAGTATTAAATCAATCAATAGGAAATTAATCAATCATAAATAATTAACAATAATAATTTACCCCTTCATATTATTCATGGATCCCCACAACCCTAGAAATAAAACTACTCACATATATTTAAATCTAAACTAAGCAAAGCGTATAAAGAAAGCATGATTAAAACAATAATTATAAGCTAATATGAAAAATAATTAAATTAAAGAGAAAACCAAAGAAATAATATTAAAACTAAATAAAAATAAGGATATTTTGGTTTTTAACACCTCACAAATGTCTGAAAATGTTTTTTAACACCCCCCAAAACAAAACTTTTATTTTAACACCTCGTAAAGTTTTAAAAATTTGAAGTTAACACCAGTTAACGGTTTCTGTGACGGCAAAATGTAGTGGGTCCCACAGTTTGGTTTACCTCTAACATTTCTCCCACCAAAACACGAACAGTCTTCCTTCATTGAATTCTCAACCAACTTCTTCATTGATTTCTCTCTGAACCACCATTGAATTCGCATTGTGACCTAAATTGTGTGGCTGAGGAGTGGAGTGTAGGAGGGAGCTGTCAACATTGGCGAAGATTAGGTCAGGAGGGTGTCGTCACAATCTTCATCAACCACAAAAGGGCGACAGTTGGTGGGAATCTGACAGCAAAGAAGGTATTTTTTTTGTGTTTTTGTCTTTTGGTAGCGAATGGGTCTGTTACTGGTGCTTTTTTAATGTCAAATTTGCAATATTGGGCTAAATTAGGGTCAAATTTTGCAACAGAGTAGAAACTGTCCCTGTGTTAGGTTAAATTCTGCAATTGACTATGCGACTTAGGTTAATTGGACTGCTTAATTGCAATTACAGATTAAATAAAGTTGTTTAGTAGTGGTTAACTGTGCAAGTGTGATTTGTTTATTAATCTATGGTACTGAGCACCTACATTGGGTTTGAACAATTATTTAGTTTGAATTGTTTATAAATGTTGGAATTGTAGCTTTTTACTGTATGTTTGGTAGTTGTGTCTTTTGTTTATTTATTCGTAATGTGCATGTATTGATACATGACTTTTAATATGGTAGATAATGGGTGACAATGAAAGTACGATTGACATTTATCTTAGGGTGGGAGGTGATTTTGTCCCTAAAAGAGTGAGCAAAGATAGACAGCTACTGTGTTGGTGTGGTGGTTGGTGTTACTGGAAGAAGAAAGTCCAGGTGTCTAAGTTGGATGTGCATTTGATTAGAACAGCTGCAATTCATGGTTTTCTTAGTGGTGATATGGCTATGCCTAGGGATTACAGGTGTTGGTATAGGCAGAAGGGGAAAACCTTTAACAGTGGGAAAAGGGAACTAGTAAACAGTGAAGAGGTTAAGGGCCTTTTACAAACAGTAAATTCAGAGGGGTATGTTGAAGTGTTTGTGACAGCAGAAGCTCCTACTAAGCCCATAAATGAGGCCCAACCCAATCCACCAAAGACAAATAAAAAGGGCAAGAAAGTAGGAAGTACAACGAATGTGAGTGTTAGGAGGAGCCCTAGGTTTAAGAAGGTAGACCCTGAACAGAGGGAGGAGAGTCCACCTAAGGATATATTTGTCACCAAGAAAGGGAAAGAGAAGGTAGCAGAAGTAGGAGAACCTAGTTTTGCAAGAACATAGGTGAAGTTGAAAGGGAAATCCTCAGCTAAGGCTAAAGTGTTGAGGTTTGATGATGAGGAAGATGATGGAGGTGAAGGATCTGAGAATTCAAGTTCTGATTTGAGTGATGATGGCCAGGATTGGGAACCTGGTGAAGAAGAATATGATGAAGGGGATGAGGAATGGTATATTGAAGGGTCAAAGGAGATCCTGGAAAAGGTGAACAAGAGCCTTAGGAAAGGTTTGGGGAGTGAAATAGATGAGGGTGTTGTTAAAGATAAGAGAGCAGAGTTGAGGGATGACTTGGATGTTGGAAAACTGAAGGTGAAACCAGAGAGTGGTTGTGAGTCAGATGATTCAAGGAGTTTGTGTGGATCTGATGATGAAGAGGACCCTGCTCCATGGTTTAATGCTGATGTGGACTTTGACCACCCAATACAGTTGAAGGTAAATCTGAAATTCAGCAATTCTACAGTCTTAAGGAGGGCCTTAAGACTTCATGCCATTCAAAACAGGTATGAGTTCTACTACTTGCATAATGATGGGAACAGGATTACACTTCAGTGTAGGTATAGATGTGCATGTCAATACAATAGCTACACATGTAGGATGCCTGCTTGTACATGTGTGGGGGGGGGGGGGGTAAAGTGTCATTTCAAGGTGTTTGCATCAAAACTTGTAAAGCAGCAGACTTGGCAAATAAAAACATTGAATTTAGACCACACTTGTTTTAGGGTCAAGAAGAACAAGATGATTACTGCTGAATATATAGCAGAGAGGTATTTAGAAGAGTTTAGGAGTAACCCAGCTTGGAGAATTAAGGAGATTAGGGCTAGGATTTTGAATGACTTAGGAATTTAAGTGAGTTATTACAAAGCATGGTTAGCTAGGTGTAGGGCAAAGCTGACAATATTTGGTTCAGCTAGGGAGCAGTATGCTAGGGTGTGGGATTATGGTAAAGCTGTGATGAAGTACAACCCTAGATCTGGGTGCAATGTTGTTGTTGATGGTATAAATGGGCCAGAGCCACCCTTGTTCATGAGAATGTTCATTTGTTTAAGGCCACTGAGGGATGGCTTTGCAAAAGGTTGTAGGCCACTAATAGGGTTGGATGGTTGTCATCTCAAAGGGGACTTTCCTGGGCAAATACTGGTGGCAGTGGTTAAG